GTCCGTCACTTGGTGGCCTGCGTCCCTTCGGCACTTCAACCGACGAATTCGTGAACTCCCGAGTTGACATTCTTCGATTTCCTGGAGGTTGCAGCTGCAGCTGTTCGTGCTCTGCCGTCTCCATCCGAGACAGTTCTGCTAGAAGTCGGGTGCGTTCTCCCTCCTCCCCAATAGTATCTGCAAAGGATTTCCACGAAAAGTCAAGCGTGAACTCAGACTCGTTGCAGATCTTGACTGTTTTGCGAGATGCAAGCGATAGATACGTAGCGCTGGGCTCCACCAAGGGCTGGCCCAAGAAGACGTCCACGTTTACCACGCGACCTACTAGCTGGACGACTGCTATTTGGCCGCTGTCATCCTTAACCTCCAGTTCACCTTCACCCGAGTCCAGATTAGGTGGAATTAGCCTCAGTTCAATCTGCACCGCTGCCCCCTGTGCCAGTGTCGCACTAGGAGGGGTCACTCGGAAGTGCTCGCTCGTTTGAAAAGTAAAAGAGGAGCCGCGTGTCCCCACATTCCTCACGGTTAGGACGCGAGTCGTGGACATCTTGACCGGACAGATGCCGAATTCGAGCTGATCGGGCAAGTCCAATGCTGCAAAACGCCCTCGCACTCGAATTGGCAACAAGAAACGCTCACGCTCTGTGCAGCACACGAGGTCTAGTGAATAATCTGTGACTTCCTGTGGGAAGAACTCGAGGACGAAGGCGATCTCCATTCCTGCGGCTACTTTGCCATTTTCTACTCGATCAGGTTTAGAGTTTCTGGCTTCCCAAGGCCAAACTCGAAAGATAGGAGACCGTGGAGACTCAATCCTGAGGCGACGCACGACGGTGTCGCAGTTACGGAAGCGGAGCTTGATGCTGAGGGGCTCGAATGGCGTGTACTCGTCGATCCAGACTTCGGCTGGCATGGCTTCGAATAAAGGCTGGTGCAAAGGAACAGTGCTCGATACATGCAAGGTGTGGTCTTCAGCATTCACCAGCTCAATGACCCGACTCGTCGCATGTTTGGAGGCATGGGCCTTTGCCGTCGAGAAGGCTGTGAGGATCTCGCTCGGCTTCTGTTAGTAAATGGACATAACACGCAGAAGTTTAGACCAATAGGATAATCCCATGACCATCGAGATGATCAGAGCGTACGAGGCGTTTGGACATGACTCGCAGTCGAACGGGGGCGCTTTTTCACCGCACAAAGGATTGTTTTTGGATCTGCCAGATGTGTCTAACCAGTGAAGAGGCATCAGGACGACTCGCCAAGTGGGCGGGTCAGCTGAAAAACAAGGATAGCTACTTTCAAGGAGAGCTGTACAGCCTGTTCTACATGTGCTTATTGCCAAAAGCTATCGGTAGATACATGTAGTGGTGCGTTGGTGAAGTTGGTGCCAATGATGACAAAAGTGTGCGATCGTACATCCGGTAAGAGGAAACTTAAGTATATTTGAGGTTGGGGACTTAGTGTTGCTACACGAGGAACCTACCTCTTGACACTGTCAGCTCTGTCGGCAGCAACAAACTGAAGAACCGCTTCATCGGACCTTTTGCAGTCCTGGCCAGACATGGTGCGTCGATCACCATCGACCTTCCAAAGTCAATGACGACGCACCCGACGTTCTATGTCGGACGTCTTAAGCGGTACTTTGACCCGCAGGGGGTTGCTGACTCGCAGACCCCCCTTGACCCAGCTCCTCGAAGCGAGGGCCGGTCACAGTCGTCGACGAGGGCGTCGGAGCAGGCACCCAAGCCTCGGTCGGGACGGCAAGGCTGCGGTCAAGACCGTACGCCGGAGGGGCTCCATACGAACGGACCCCGGAGCCATACGCCGAGTACGCTAAGTACGCCGGGTACGCACCATACGCGTTCGTCTGGGAGTGCGTCGAAGGCGGCTCCGGACGTGGGAACAGAGCCTCGATCCGTCGGATCATGCGGAAGGCTTCGTCCAGATCGGTCGAAGAGGCCCGACGATCCACCCGCAGATGCAGGCTCGCGACCTCACGCTCCAACAGGTCCAGGCGGTCCGCAAGACGAGCGAGCTCGCCCTGATTCCCGGCCTGGGCGGCAGCATCACCGCCAGTCCCAAGGCCAAGTGCAATCTCAAGCAGGAGGGACACGTTGACGGAGGCGGTCAGCCTCAGGGGCCCTGTGTCGGACCCGCAGTCGGAGCACTTGGACGGGAGTGGCTTTCGGGAGGCGCCGAGTACTCGTACTCGTACGAGGGCACCTCCGCCCCCTGCTTGACCGGAATGGAGAAGTCTACTTCCATGTGGAGCGGATCTTTCAGGAGCAACGGCGTCGCGGTAAGCGACAGCTCCTCGTGAAGTGGAGGGGTTATGCCCACTCCGAGAAGTCGTGGAAGCCGATTGAACGGTTCCGGATTGACTGCCCGAAGGCTGTCGCAATCTGGGAACAGAAGCGGCGGCAGCTTCATAAGTAGTCCGAGGCTTCTTGCCCGAACGGGATACGGATGTTGACGACACTCCGTACCCGCGCTCATCGTGAGCGCTAGAAGCCGCGCGCTTCAGAATGTCCCTTGGCAGCATGCACTTGCTGAACATGTGGGCAATCCGTCGGCAACATGGTCTCCACGCTTACTTCGTCTGTTGATTTTGGTCTGCCGCCCATCAATACCT